GTTCTTAAGGAAATATCAACTAGTATAGATTATCTGGTAACTATCAGCATTAACCACCACATCATAAGTATACTACCGCACAAGCGTAGCAAAGCGAAACCATAATCACGAAAGTGTATAGCCCCCCTAAAGAAATGAGGGCTGATTTTGACGCACTCATTCGGTATGCCAATAGTAATTACAGCATCCAGGGTCGACTACTGCTTCACGGGGACTTCAATGCCCCTCACTGTACTTGGGGGTACCGAACATATACCCCGAAAGGCCGGGAACTCGAGCGAGTTTTTGATGCACATGGGCTCCAACTTCTCGTACTCCCGCAACACCCGACGAGATTGGGTAACAGCGTCAGCGTAGACACGTTTCCTGATCTTGCATTCATAAATGATGTTGATGAAGTGTTCTGGAGCAACCTAGAAGAAAAGCTCGGCAGTGACCAATATATCTTGAGCGTGTCAATCGCCTCCCCCGAAATTCGGCAATCTCATGGTCATGTTGTAATAACAGATTGGGTAACTTATCGTAAAGTACCACCGCCCGAATTTTTACTGAATAGCGCTGCAAATTGGGCCACGCACATACTAGAGGCTCACAAAGCAACTTCTAAGCGGGTCGCTCTCAGCGGAAACCCCGGTATAGTCGATAGCCATCGGCTACATATGTGGGAAGCCAAGAGAGGGTTGACCAAGGGATGGAAACAACAGCGACTTAATATAAATTTGCACCATAAAATTGCTGAGATATCTGAGCGGGCAAACGCTCACGCGCAGCAAGCAGTTGGAGATGGTGAAGTGGGCGCATTGGCTTTTGTCATAAGTCAGCTAACTTAAAGTCCTCTCCAGGATATCAATAGAACCAATTTAAAGGCCCTAGATGCGTCGATCCGAACATCGTACAAGGTGGCTGTCGGTCTACCACTTGCAACGTCCCCAGAACGTCTCGAAGTCCTTAGTATGCACAATCATTATGAGGATTTACGCGCAGCGGTGCTCATTTCGCAGGGGGAAAGGCTTGCCTTACTGGGAGAAAATTGCTGTGCCGTGTAGGTTACCCAGCTCGTCCTCGGTATGCGGGAAAGGAACTGGAGTCAATGGCTAAACAGCTACATGAAAAGATTCTAGTATCCCCTATCCCAATAAACAAGAGCCCACGATATGATAAAGGTCGTAGGAGTGCACAAGCCCGCAAGTTACAGCGGCAGTTCGGGAACAATCCGGACACGGTGTACACAAATATCGCCCTATGCGGCATGAACAAGTACGCGCTCGCAGTCGTACAGAGCGGCCCCGGGTCAAGGCCTTCTGACTTGCGCCATGGCGCGAGCCGCGTCCGCGATTAACGCTGAGGGTTTAGCTATCGCACTTGCTATTAAAGCTAAGAATATTCTGGGACGATTGTCCCTTATTCTCACCAATTCCATGGTCGCATAGACTCTTTCTCACGGGAAGACTACCACACGACACGATTAGCCTATTAGGACAGGATCTAACGCAGGACCATGCTATCATTTGGTGACCGGGTCACGCAGGACTCGATGACAATGAGTGAGCGGACGGCACAGCTCATACTTTAACCAACCGAGCGGCCTACCACTCCGACGACAGCCCCTTTTTACCGCGAGATATCCTTGAAAACCAACGGCTTGTGCGACGAAAGTACAGTGTACCACACACAGCTCTAACCGGGCGGAGCTCTTATGACTGGCGCCGTATACAATCAAACACATATCCAAATATTTCGTTGAAGCATGCCATTCACCCTGCGATGTAAAGCGATAGCTGTCCGTGGTGGGGAGGCAGACACACTTTCGCCCACATAACGTGGATATTCAAAACAGGCCAACCAAACTTAACTTGCGGAAAATAGCCAGCAAATTTTTCGGACGGGGGCAGTGGGATACTCTGCTCGCCAGCAAGGATCTGGGGAAGCAACCAAGGAGGATACATAAAACATTTATGTATCCTCCTTGGATGCAACTAGCGCTCCTCGACTAGGTGCAGCGGGCCTCTAAAGCCAGTGGAGCCCTGGAATAGGGGTCCACCCCTATTCTCCCCTTTCCTTTTTTTCCTTCCTTCTTTTTCAAATAAACGTTTTGATATGTTTCATAACACAAAAAAGACCACACGCGCCCCTCGTCTCTATCGAGAGGACAGGCTCAAGTTTGCGCAGCGCAATTCACCACCCTAGCGGAAAGAGAAAAAATTCCGGTTACTCGGGAGGGGGAGGGGTTCTTAGAATTGGAAAAGAAAAGTGAATCTCGCAACTGTCTGCAGCTAAGGGTGACACCTCAGCAGTGGATCACAGGGGAAGGGCAATGTGGGAGTAATATACTTGAGTGAAGGGAGGAAAGAGAAAGGAGAGAGCGAGCGAAGAGACCGAAAAGGAAGTGGGGGGACGCACAGATCGTCTACCCAAATCACGGGGCGCGAATTCTCTAAATTTGCTCACGCAGTCCGCTTCTGTCAACAAAGTCGAGCAGCGCTGAAAGGGCACGCTTGATATGCGCGCGGCCACTGTTCGGGAACAAGAGGTGCTCAGTTGTTGTCCGAGGCAGGACGAGAGCTCCGTACGTTGCGAGCATCACCTCCCTGCTCACGGCACCAGCCGGGCAATGAAGCAAACTGTGGTTCAGAGTCTCCAGTTCGCCATAGTACATGCAGTATGGACTGCCACGCACGGAGTGCCGATGTTTACGCTCGGCGGTGTAGTTGCCTGCGGTGCGGAGACGGAGAAGGAAACCGCGGTCTCGTCTTGGTAATTCTTTGAGAGCGAGCCGCCACGGCGGCTTTCCAGCTGCTACGCGAGGGTCGGCATGACGCATGCGCACGTAGTGTGCGGTGAAAAGATGGCCGGCATCCGCACAGCACACGAAGTTGGTGACGCGGGTGTCGGGGTCGTGCGCATCCCTCGCGGTACAGTCGGCCGCCTAGGTGCCGGGTATTCCAATGTGTGAAGGCACCCAATGCAGCGAAAGGTGGCAGCCCGTTTGCTGCACGGCGTGTAGCTTCCGGGCAACTCTCAGCCCAAGGAGGCTACCGTCTCCCTCACGCGAGATAGCGGCCAACGCCGCTCGGGAGTCGCTGATTATGGCTGCAGCGCTCATGGGTGTCCGCTCACTCAGGAAATCGGCTGCCAAATTTATAGCAGCGAGTGGAGGAGGCGAGGGAGGGGAGGCGGCACTTGAACACCACGCCGACTGATGGCACAACGTAGGCAGCGGCCGTGGAGCTGTTGCGAAGCGCTGACCCGTCGACGTAAATAAGCAGCCGGCCGTTCAGCTGTCCGAGAAGGATGGCGGAGCACTCCTGCTGCATCGCTGCCAGCGGGGTGCGCGCCTTCGCTTCGATGCCGCCAATGGTCTTGGTGATCACCAGAGGGATGTGGCGGTAGGGTGAGATAGCCGGACAGCTGGGGTATTGCATGTCTAGCCCAACCATCAAGAGCTCATTCACCCGCTGCCCAATGGATGAGGGAGGTAGAGCATATAGCCTGTTCACAAGAAGCTGCCCCTGCCTTGTGGTTTTAAGCCGCCGTACATGATTTAGTGTCCGCTGGGTCACCCGCAGGGAGATGGGAGTTTCCCCCTGTTCGGCGAGCGTGTGGCCCACATGGGAAGGGTGGTGAAGACCGTAGTACTCCCGCACGGCGTTGCGATGGTCTGCGTCCAAGGCAGCTAGCTGACAAGCACTTAACAAAGCCACTGCTGCCATGTAGATCACGCGTGCCGATGCGACAGCGTTTTAGACTCACAGGGCAAGGGTAGGGGTGCCGCCGTGACCTCGCGCGAGGAGACTGCGTGTGGCGCCGAGTATCTTGCCAGTGCTCGTCCGCAGATCGTTGACGGCTGATCGCCAGCTGAGCCGGTGGTCTATGATCTTCCGAAGTAGCACACCTTCGTGCTACACTCGATGGGGAGGCCCCGGAGTAAGAGCCGAGGCGTGGAGCGGCGTGTCGACGCTCGTGGTTGGACGAGCAGTGCCTTGGTCTTGGAGGCGTCGAGCGCCACTCCAATCCCGTTCAGGAATGCGTCAACCGCGTCGATAACCACCTGGAGGGACTCGAGAAGGGCTGCCCGGCGGTGACCGGGGTCGCAGGCAAACAGCGCGATGTCATCGGCGTAAATCGCCACATGCACTGCACAAGAAGTGTTGCGCGGGATGTAGTCGGGCAGCTTGGCAAGAGCCACATTGAACAGGAAAGGGGTCAATATGCTGCCCTGGGGTACGTCCGCGGTGACGCAGTGGGGACCGCTGATTGTCGAACCAACACAAACGTGAAGACTGCGGTCGCCCAAGAAGCTATCGAGAGGCCCGTTTACATTGACCCGATGAGGGCGCGTTGAGTCGAAATAAACAGGTTTTCTGGACTCGCCCTCCCCATGTATAAGCGGATGCGTCGGGGCGGAGAGTCGTCGCGGCGAGTCCCGTCGACCCGGAGACAGGGGGTAGGTTCACCGAACTCGCCGCGCTCAGAAAGGGCATGTATAACCGGTCGCGCTGAGTTGACGGCTCGTGACCTCTCCCGCCCGTCGCGGTCTCCGCTTCCCCTGTCCCCATCACTTTGATGTTGCTCTTTCTATGTCGGCCGGTACGCGCGCGCTGGGCACGATGACATTCTCGCGGGCTCCACGCACCATGTGGACAGATGATGAAATAACGACGTTGCTAGCTTTAGTCAACGAGAAAAAACTGAGTGATTTGCTCGATAGCCAGCGGCAAAAAAATAAGGACATATTCATGGACCTGGAAAGATGTTTGAAGGAACAGGGCCTGACGTGGACATGGGAGCAAATAAGGACCTGTTGGAAGAATTTGAAGAAACGCTTCACGGCTGTAAGTACCTCCCTGTTCGCTTTGATTCGAAAAGTTTTCAGGCGCTTTAATTTCTAATGACTTTTTTGGTATTCGCAGGAACGCCTGCTCCTATGCAAAAGTGGCGGGGAGCCGTCAAAATGGAAGTGGTTTGACAAATGAGCCTTTTGCTTGGCGACCACCCGATGGAGCAAGCAAGAGATTACGGCGTTGACACCGCCGCCGAAGACGAGGACATCGTTCTGTTATGCGGTAAATGCAGATCACTTTTACGTTTAAATCTTGCTCGGCACGTCCTACGAGAGCTTGTTGGTTATCGTTCTCACGACCGGCTATTTCGCTCTGCCCGTAGCAGGAAATCGGCTTGTGCGCCAGAAATCTCAAATACGTGCACATGAACGCTTTAAAATTCACAGAATTGTTTACTAATGCGCAGCATTTCAACTCCGCTTGCATTTATTTTGCGTTCTTCACAGCCAGAAAAGGCAAATACTTTCGGGTATTTTATTCTTTGTAAGTTTTCTTTTGGGTTTTTTTGCAAGTGGTGTAAATTGACTTTATCACAAGAATTAAGTGCCTTTACCAATACATGTAACTTCCCCCAGAAGAAAAGCGTAGTGCAGGGTTGGTTTCGCTCTTTTTAATTCGTGTTTCATGAATCCCTGAATGGACTTAGGCATTTCGAACGTTTTTTCGGGTTTAGTGTTCGGGTTTTGGAAGTGATTAGGGTCGTTCCACGCCAAATATTCCAGACAGTACGCTAGACTATCTACGATTACACTATAAAAAGTAATGGTTGGTCACTTTACTACACTATTCATTTTGGGAACCAATTTTCTAAAGAAAATTTTAATTTCTTAAATATGGTGGCAGTTAGGTCGCGACGAAACTTCGAAAAATTGAAATGATGTTACGGGGAATAAAGTATACACTGGCGAGCAAATGCATACTGGCGAATGTACTGGCGAGCTAAAGCGTACAACGCTGCTGCAGTCCGAGCACGGTTACATTCAGCACTTCGTCGTCATCATTCTCAGGCATCTACTTAGCCCGTGACATTACCCCCCGGCGGCAGAAGCACCGTCCCGGTGCGATCAATTCTCGAGGCGTGAGTAGTATGGTTTAAGCCGTAAGACGTGCACTATATCGGTCGGGACTGAAGCTGGTACTGACGTGGTATGGAGTGGAGCTATCTCATGGGTCACGCTGGTGACCTTGCGTATGACGCGGTAGGGGCTAGCGTAACGGGACATCAGTTTTTCGCAGAGACCAACACGACGTGATGGTAGCCACAGCAAGACGAGTGACCCCGGAGAGTACTGTACGTCGCGGTGCCGGCGATCGTAAGCACTCTTTTGGTTAAGCTGCGAGGCACATAAACGATCTCGGGCGACTTGGCGGGCGATGTCAGCTCGGGCCAAAGCATCACGAGCATAAGCAGTGGATGAGGAGGCGTCAGATTGGAGCATGGTGTCCATAGGCAAAGGCGGGTCATAACCAAACAGTAGATAAAAAGGTGAAAATCCAGCTGTATCATGACGTGAACTGTTGTATGTGAAGGTAACGAAAGGTAAGTGGATGTCCCAATCTTTGTGATCCTTGGAGACGTACATCGCTAACATATTCGTCAGGGTATGGTTGAGGCGTTCTGTGAGGCCGTTGGTTTGCGGATGGTACGCTGTAGTGAACTTGTGGTGGGTAGAGCAGGATCGCAGGAGCTCGTCGACTACTTTAGATAGAAAACAGCTGCCGCGGTCAGTGATCAACTGACGAGGAGCACCATGACGCAGAATGATGTCATGAAGAAGGAAATCGGCTACATCAGTAGCGCAGCTGGTGGGGATGGCGCGTGTAACGGCATACCGCGTTGCGTAGTCGGTAGCAATAGCAATCCACTTATTACCGGTGGCCGACAAGGGAAAAGGTCCTAGAAGATCGAGGCCGACTCGGAAAAATGGCTCATCTGGTACTTCAATGGGCTGGAGGGTACCAGCAGGTCTCAGAGCAGGTGTCTTGCGGCGCTGGCAGAGGTCGCATGCCGCAACGTACTGTCGCACAGAACGGTAGAGGCCAGGCCAAAAGAATCGGCGGCGAATGCGGTCATACGTGCGTGACACCCCTAGGTGTCCAGCGGAGGGGGCATCATGCAGCTGGGCCAAAACGTCTGAGCGAAGATGCACAGGAACAACGAGTAAAAGCTCAGCACCATCAGGGCGGGCGTTGTAGCGGTGCAAGATGTCGTTGTGAAGAACGAACAGTTGTAAGGAGTGGTCAGGGTGGGGAGAGTGCAGACCATTGATAATAGCATGCAAAGAGGGGTCGCGGCGTTGTTCAGCAGCTATGTCGGTGAAGTCGGTAATTGAGAGAACGAGGGCCTCTTGTTCATCTTCCCTCGTGTCAGGGGGATTGACTGGGTAACGGGACAAGCAGTCGGCATCCTTGTGAAGTTGTCCGGATTTATAGGATACGGAAACTCTTGTAAGCGCAGCGCCCAGCGACCAAGGCGTCCCGTAGGGTCCTTGAGTGAGGAGAGCCAGCAAAGCGCATGGTGGTCCGTAATAACTGAGAATGGTCGGCCGTACAGGTACAGTCGGAATTTCGCAATGGCCCAGACGAGAGCTAAGCACTCGCGTTCAGTGATGGAATAATTTTGTTCCGAGCGCGACAACAGTCGGCTTGCATACGCGACGACGCGGTACATGCCTTGTTGCCGCTGTGCCAGCACTGCGCCTATGCCGTGGCCACTGGCGTCAGTACGAAGCTCCGTGGCGGCAGATGGGTCGAAGTGTGCTAGGACTGGTGGATTGGTGAGGATGTCAACGAGCGACGAGAAGGCGTTTCCTTGCTGTTGGTCCCAGGTGAATGCGAGATCCGTTTTGAGGAGGCAGGTTAGATGACGGGCTACTTCAGCAAACTTCTCGACAAAACGACGGAAATAGGAGCACAGTCCCAGAAAACTTCGGACGTCCTTGGCTGAGTGGGGTGTGGGGAAGTCGCGAACTGCTCGGACTTTCACAGGGTCTGGTTGAACGCCCGCAGCGTTAACAAGATGGCCGAGTACGCAGATTTGGCGTTGCCCAAAGCGGCATTTGGACGAGTTAAGTTGCAAGTTGGCACGTCGAAAAACATCAAGCACTGTGGACAGACGGGTAAGATGGTCGTCGAAAGTAGTCGAAAAAACAATAACGTCGTCAAGATAGTAGAGGCAGATGGTCCACTTCATGCCTCGAAGGAGAGAGTCCATCATGCGCTCAAATGTCGCAGGGGCATTGCATAATCCAAAAGGCATCATCTTGAACTGATAAAGTCCATCAGGAGTCACGAAGGCCGTCTTCTCTCTGTCTTTGTCGTCCACAGCAATCTGCCAGTAGCCTGAGCGAAGGTCTATTGAAGAGAAATATTTGGCACCGTGCAAGCAATCGAGTGCATCCTCTATGCGCGGTAGGGGATAGACATCTTTCTTGGTAATATTGTTGAGATGGCGGTAATCAACACAGAATCTCCAGCTATTGTCCTTTTTAACAAGTACAACGGGTGAGGACCGGGGACTAGATGAGGGTTCGATTACGCCCTTATCAAGCATTTTATCGACTTCTCGTTGTATAATAGCACGCTCCGGGGCTGACACAGGGTAGGGTCGTCGGCGAATGGGTCGAGCGTCACCGGTGTCGATGCGATGGGTTATCACGGATGTCGGGCCCAAATTACGGTCGCCGAAGTCAAAGATGTCCTGATAAGAAGCAAGCACACGGCAGAAAGCAGAGACTTGTTCAGAGGTGAGCTTGTCAGATAGCATTGGCTTGAAAAGGTCGGAACAGGGACGTGACGAGAGCGACGTCGATGAAAAATCGGGTGGCGAATCGGTGGTTAGGGCGGAAACTGTGTGGTCGACCAGTGGTGTCAGATGCGCAAGTGACATGCCGCGAGGAATAACTTGCGCTGAGAAGCCGAAATTGAGGACGGGAAATGAAGTTCGGTTGTCCTTAACGGTAACCACCGTGTTGGAGAGTGCAACATTGCGTGTCATGGCCACGTCAGAAATTGAGGCAGCAACATAATCGCCATCGGGTACTGGAGGATATGGCGAGAGTTGGACTTGGAATGCGGCTTGCAGCGGAAGTCTGAGGAAATCGACAGAGCGTAGACGAGGTGGGCTGGTAGAGACGGTCTCTGAGAAGGATGGTAGTTCGAGCCGAAGAAGACCTTTGGAACAGTCAATGAGCGCAGCGTGTGAAGTCAGAAAGTCGAGTCCAAGGATGAGGTCATGGGGGCAATTTTCCAGTACAACAAACAGAACTGAAGTTTGATACTCTGAAATCGTTAACCGCGCTGTGCACATTCCAAGCACAGCAGGAGTACTCCCATCCGCTGTACGAACGGTAGGTGCAATCGCAGGCGTCAGAACATCTGGAGGCGGCGGCGGAGGTCTGAGCTCATCACAGATATTTGTGCACTGGTATCAATAAGAGCAGTTACAGACATAGCGGGAGCCATAGCCAGAGCAGTTACAGACTAGACATAGCGGGAGCCATAGCCTCGAGTTCCCGACGGACTATTCTGGTGACGTTTTCTGGCGCTGGTGGTTGATGTAGTGTGGGCAAATCTTCGCAAGAGGATGTAGCCGCCGTGTTGAGAAGGCGGTCAAATCGGTGAACTATGCGCCTACTTTTTGCCTGTTCGAAGCGACGACATGCTTCGATGACCGACTCCACTGTCGAGCAGTCCTTGCACAGGAGAAAATTGAAGGCGTCATCGGCACCTCCACCAATGATGTTACGGGGAATAAAGTATACACTGGCGAGCAAATGCGTACTGGTGAATGTACTGGCGAGCTAAAGTGTACAACGCTGCTGCAGTCCGAGCACGGTCACGTTCAGCACTTCGTCGTCGTCATCCTCAGGCATCTACTTAGCCCGTGACAATAATATACGCAGCACGATAAAACGATTCCAGTCGGTAGGGAAAGAACCGCATTTCCTTGTTAAAACGCATTCACCACTAGTGTATGTTAATGTGCTTTGCGGGGAAGCAATGCAGTGTTCTTGAACAAAGTCAGAAATTTTTACAGCTTTTCAACTTTTCCAGGGACAACGCAGCTGCATAGCTTGCTTTCATTGTTGACGGTAAGTGGGGGAAAAACATGAGTCGCGAAGACAGTAGTTTGGAAGCGCTGGCACATGAACTTTGAAAAATTTGCAATATTGCTCATGTTCAGGCACTTATCGGTCTGTGTGGTGCTCCATATAAAAATATACACTTTGGATAATTTGAAAGGGTGCAGAAACGATATTTATTTCTGTAAGTTTAATACGAATCTTTGTTTTACGCGAGAAAATATTATTTATATTGAGCTGCCCCCAAGGTTGTCAACGCGGACCGTAAGCGCACTTCACTGCACCGAGGGTTCCTCGGCAGCCTCCTAAATGCACCAAAGCCGGCTTGTTGATTCGTGCTCCATTTTTCCTGCGCTTACCGCCAGTAATAGAAACAAATTATGCAGCTGCACTATCTCATAAAAAGTTGTAAGAGCTGTAAAAAATGTTTATATATCGCCCAAGAACAACGCATTGCTTCCCCTCAAAGAACATCTTGAGACAACCTAGTAGCTGTGAACGCGTTGTGCCAAGGAAACGCTGTGTTCTTCCTACCCACGAGTTTTTTTCACAACCTAGTTATTGGGCGCTGCCACGATATTTAAATTGCTCTGGGAGTTAGAAAAAATTTCCTCCGAAAACTGGTCTCAAAACAAAAATGGAAGCGATTAGTGTAGTCAAGCGATCGACCATGAATTTTTATATTTTTATTGGAGATGGTCGAGCGTACTGCCTGGAACGTTTAGCGTGTAATTAGCCATGTACATATTTTGTAACTTCGTTTTTGTGATATTTTTAAATTTTGGTTATTCTTGTTTTTTATTGATAATGACGTATGACCAATTAAGGTAATTGGCGCTCTTATGGCGATAAAATTCTGTTTGACCAATTATCTCCATTTCAGTTATAACAATTAAATGTGTTACTCCGCCCGTCACGCATTTTTTTGAAGGCAGGGCATTCCACAGTCTAAGGTGCTGGGGTACTCGGCAAGGAATGCTACGCAGGATAAATGTAGATCATGAATCGACCATGCACATGGTTTTACTGTCAATATTCCCGTCCCTGATTACAATGAAGACCTATGGCAATGCACTAATCCAATACTTATAATTGCAGATGGCAGCGAAGAGGAAGGAGATGCGTCCGACGATCTAGAAACCTGTAAGTTCTTTTTTTTCTGCGCTGTAATGCCACAGCGGTCATGTTTCCTACTTCAGTGTTCAAGATGACTGAAAAAAAAAACGATGCAGAGAACATGCATGCAAGCTTTATTTACTGTATATACATGAGTTCATAGTAGGTCATGCCCACTCTTTGAACAAAATTGCCAGCAAGACAAGTGTGGTCAGGTGTTCCAAGACATGTGCGGCTCATGTTTTCCCTAAGGCACAAGTAACTTTTTAAAAGACTTACTCCACAGTTCCTCAGTTTTTCTATGTACAAGAATTCTTCGAGATATTAATTACTTTTCTCGATTCTTAGACTCCTTCCATACACAGTAAAGCCTCAGACCATAATATATGTGGGAAAATCCAAAGCTATAAATAACACTTGTAGCACTTGAAAATTGAAAAGGTTAAGCCTTTTTCACATACTCGCCTTATAGCCAACATGCAGACAGACCACGTATTCCTACAAATGTCATAAAAAGGAGCATACATAAAACATCACGGTCAATTACATCCCCCTCTGAAATGGATGAGACAAAACTACATAAGACTGAAGAAGAAAAAAGCTAAAGAGGCTGTGATAAACGTGAAAAAGGCTCTCTCACGGGAATTCTATTTTCAGCTGCAACATCTACGCCATCGCAAGGAGAACCAAGCACATCAGGAACACAACGTGGAAACCTGACCCCTGATGCAACACCCCCCCCCCCCCCCAAGTTTGAAAAGGTGTCGGATAAGATGTATGAAAAGAACATTGAGCAGCAAGAGAAGCAAAATACCATTCACTTCGAAATGGAAAATCAGATTCTCCAAAGAGAGCATGAAAATATGAAGGAGCTCCTGGCAGGAGTCACAAACTCCTTCTTGCAGGGAACACAAGCCCTTATGGGACAGTTTCTTGCCCATCAGGCCAACCTTCTAAGCGGTCTTCAAGGCATGCACACCCTTCCTCCTGCCCAAATGCCACCGTGCATGTCCTACCTGCCAGGGCACAATCGCGCTCCGAGGCAATAGGCCAACTTTTCTTTGTGTGTGCAATGTATGTGTGCAGTTGTGTGTGGTTAACAATATAAAAACCCCTAAACATCTACCCATTTGTCGCCTACTGCCACTGAGTTCAGCCCAGTATTTCACCTCCAGGCTTACGCTTACAACCGCAGCCCACAGCGGCGAGAGGCGAGAGCGCAGGCTTGGAGGAGCGGAAACCGGTACCGGAAGACGGGCTTTCAGCTCGCCTCGACGCAAAGCGTCGCTGCGATCACCGCCCTCCTAGGGTGCCTTGATGCCCGCGCGCTCCGCTGCGAAGTGGGGGCGCGCGCATCGAGGAACTCTACGCTCTCCTCAACTCGTCCGTGCGAGTTCATATAAACTCGGGCGCGTCGAGGTAAGCTGAACCCGCCACTCAACTCAGCCCGCCCCAGTCGCGTTCATGTACACGGGGCTCAGATAATCAAACATCCGCCCGCACACACCAAGGTCACGAAGTGCGTCCAAAATCGATGCGTGGGGCAAACAGTCAAAAGCACTTCTCACGTCGAGCAGCACGAGGATGCCGTAATTGCCGCGGTACTTGGCCTCCTCGAGGGTGGCGATCACGTTACCCAGTGAGTCAAACGTGCAGCGGCTTTGGCGAAATCCCCTCTGTTCGGGAGGGAATGGTTGGTTGCGGTGGCAATCCAGCGAAGGCGTCGCAATGCCATGACTTCCATGACTTTTCCTGCGGCCGAGGTAAGTGATACTGGCCGGTAGGATGAAAGCTTCGTGGCCGGCTTCTGTGGCTTCAGGATGGGCACCACGAGCCCCTCTTTCCAGCCGAGAGGCACCCGACTTGTGCGTCACACTTCGTTGTAGGCTTCCAGCAACCGGGGTCGCATGGAGGGGTCGGGCCGCGCTTGCTGGGTTTTTCTATTGCGCGCACGGCAAACGTGTTCCTTGGAGCGCTTATCTCGCATTCCGCATGCTATGGGCAGCGCTCCTTCATCAGTCTAGAAAGCAGGCACGCACTACTGCTGCATTGTGAGCTGCTACAGAAGTTTAAACATGACGAACACAATAAACATTAAATTAAACAAAGCCAAGGCACAAGGCGGGAGCGGGGTACTGTTAAGGGTACGAGATTGATGATGGCATCACACCGCTGCCACCAGTTGTTAAGGGCTTGGGACCGATGGTAAGCACGGCGGTTTTCTTTAGGGTAACTGGCTCCCCTCCATCGTCACCATAGCCGATCTTCGCCAGTGAGGGGATGCGTTAAGAGAGAAAACACGAAGGTTTATTTACATTAAAGATGAAAATAGGAACTGTACAGGGATTCAGAAGATCCCACATTATGTACAACAGAGATTCAGTTCATGATCCAGTCCATGATTACGCTCTTATCTACAAAATGGCTCGGCTGCTACCTAGAACATCTACAGGACAGCGTCTTGCCGACTTCACGCCGATGGGGCTGAAAGCCTCCCTAGCAGACCGGCTCATGCACAATGGCGTCTGCCCAAACGAATTGCTGGGCCAAACGTTACAGTAACGAGCAACCGCCTTTTGCTTGAAAGGCGGTGAAACGCGTGCGGCACACCGCCCCCTGGCCGAGGTTTGGAGGCCCATAGAGAACGGCGTCCAAACCAATCAACGCCCCCCCCCCCCCTCCCCGCCCGCCAAAACACGTGCAAAAAGCTTTAAAAAAACGGAGAACCAGAAAAAGCAAGCCCAGACGCGTCTTTCGTCGGGCGCAGAACTTGGTAATACCATGGCTTCTGGATGAAAAAGCAAGTAGTACACTTTAAAATGAAGTGCAAGTTCAGAATGACAAACCTGCTGGTGCAAGACAAGTGTGTCGCCAGCACAGCAAACGATCTAGTGCTTACAAAGTGATCATTGTTCGTTATTTCCTGCATACTAGTACTCTAAAAACTTTAATTACAATTTGACCTTGAATATGTATTAGTTGTAGTATAATCACTTGTTCTTATGAGTGCAGTAAGAGAACACTCGTTTAGTTTTTCAACAAATCTTAAAATTGGTAGCCAATTCTGGAATCACACTTGTAAACGCGTGCCACCCTGAGTACTGGAAGTAAGGGCCTACTTTTTTCAAACCCCCCGCCTAGGCTCAGTGGCTAACGCCTCGCATTCGCAACGCGGAGGTCCCGCGTTCGATTACGCGCGCTGGAGTCTTTTTCTAGTTTTTTTTTTCCTTCCTTGCGTTTTCCTATATATAGATACGTATACATATACGGTGAGAGACGCCGACGCAAGCGGCCAAATCCCGCCAAAAGTGTCCATAAAATTGCTATCGCAGTAATATTGAGCAACGAGGAAAATTGATTTATGAAATGTGTTAGTGTCTATACTGACAGTAGAAAAGGAAGGTGTGCGTGTAAACAGTTTATGATAGTGTGAACTGCTGTAAGCAAACTGTGTATTGGCATGATATTTGAACTATTTTCAGTGTGCTATTTTGTTTTTGTTTTTCGAATTGTTCGTTTTTGGGTACTGTTCTGTATTATTCTTTTTTTTTCGCTGCAGAACTTCCTGATACGGAGTAGCTGAGGCAATATGCACCTCAACCTCTCTATACCAAACACTTAGAATAGAACAGGAAATCGATTCGGGGTATGTCCTATGCTCCCGTCGGGTCGAAATAAAAAAGTGATGATTCCGTGCTCAGATAGTAGCCAAGGTCTATTCAAATAGGTCGCGAAGGCTCGGGCGAAAAGCTCTTCAGAAGCTATTGCCATCGACATCAACATGGGGAGTTATGGGAGCTGCGATTGGAGCGCGACTATTTGTGGAGGGAACAAACACTAATAGTAAAAAAAACAAGTTTTATTAAAACTCGAAGCAATCAATAGTATTTACAAATAAGATTTTTTCCCCAACAATACTAAGTAGGTGTAATAAAAAAGAATACGTGATAATTTTTATTACGAAAAATCTTTTTTCTAGCGCCTTCTGCCCACACTATTATTACTCAGTGCACTACATGCTACATGCGTATACATGGCAAGGCCCGCTCGTACAATTCGTATGCGAAGACACACCCCCTCACGTGTTCTAGTGTTCTGCGCTTGCTTGCGTTCTTTCTTTCCGCCCCGCCGCGGTGGTCTAGTGGCTAAGGTACTCGGCTGCTGACCCGCAGGTCGCGGGTTCAATTCCCGGCTGCGGCGGCTGCATTTCCGATGGAGGCGGAAATGTTGTAGGCCCGTGTGCTCAGATTTGGGCGCACGTTAAAGAACCCCAGGTGGTCGAAATTTCCGGAGCCCTCCACTACGGCGTCTCTCATAATCATATAGTGGTTTTGGGACGTTAAACCCCACAAATCAATCAATCAATCAATTGCTTGCGTTCTCTGTGGTGAGCGACACTGTTAGGTGCGTTTTATCTTTGGTAAACGTCTTCAGTGCAGTGTCCAATGGGCAGAGGAATGATTCGATTTACATTGAACGCTGAGTGCTTTCGTCAATGGCGGCGGAAACGATGTGCTGTGCAAGGATGCAATAGCATCAAATGTATGCCCGTTGACCCATGTCTTCAAGATAAGAAACAAGGACAATGGTTCAGAATGCACTGCTAGCTGGACTTTCATACATGAGTATTCCCACATCTGGGTTTCTTTTTGAGCATACTGTGCCTATATACTATTCGCGTTATCAGTGAGCAGATTGCCAAGTTATCCATCACGGTACAATTCGCGTGGCTTCATCCGCATACATAGCGGTAATTTACTGGAGCATAATGCAGAAAAACATAACGCAGGGAGTGTGCGCAGATTTTGTTCTCATTACCATTGTGTGAAGTGTAATAAATTTTAGTTATTGTGACCATTGTATAAAACTAAAATGTCATCAATTGGGCGTGACTAGGCGTCATTTCTTCCTGTTAAAACAGTAGACCACAAGCTTTGTGCATGCTAAAGAACCTGCGTATGTGTGAAAGAAATAAGCCACGCTGCACATATCAAATGCATACGCAGCTACGGTGTTGGTTGCCTTAATTCATCGGCGAAAGATGCCTCGTACAGGGAAAAAAAGTTCGAAGAGTAGGTTTCCTTGTAAAACCAAGGCAAAGTGAATGGTAGCACATTTAAATATCACTACTCATTCATTCGCTTGTGGATGAACATGACTATTCATTCACGTGCACTCGTGGATGACTCGCCGGTGATTGCCTTGGCTGGAGCCCTTAGCGATCAGGGGCCCATGAGAAGTAGTTTGAGATCAAATTTCACCCTAGAGCACACAAAATGACGTCACTTGTTTACCAGCTATCGCGTCTCATGCACTTTATTTTTTGTTCCACCGGAAGTGTTCTCTGCTCACGGAGATGGCGCTAAGCCCTATGAGCCATACAGTTTTCTATTATAAAATAGAGGGAAATCTGGCGCTAGTGGCTATGGGAGCTGCAACGCATGGTGCTTCAGCGAGCATGGGAATGATGAGTAGTACACAGATTTGTGTAATCTTCGTACTTCCGGCCTGCTTCTGGCTCCGTGTGCGTTCGTGTGGCTAAGAGCTGTTTTCTCACGAAACAAAAATAAACAAGAGCTCAGCGGTTGAAATTTGCCACTTAATTTTTTTAGGCTTACTATTATGGGATGTGCTAAAACTTGGACCTAAGTTTAGTTTGGATTCTTCTATGGGTACCGTGAAATGTTTCGCCATGACGCGAAATACAGCGAGGTATGTAGCGGATACGGACAGGGATCG